CCTTGTGAGTGCTGGCTATTGGGCTCTTCGTCCTGCTCAGTTTCTGTGGGGCTTGCAAAAGAGGCCAACATGGTGACACTGGTGCCTCTGCAGTGTAGCTTAGATCTGTACCCACCAGCCGCATCCTGCAATAAGCAGACACTGGTCACGAGCTTCTCAGGGTCAGCAGTAGTGAGCTCAGGAGAAGCCAAGACATTGGTGACACTGTGAACTCTTCAGCAGATTAGTTCTGCTGTGTTTGTGTGTTATATATTTCTCTCTGTCTCCTGCTGCAGACCATAGCCAGGAAACCTTCCATCTATAGCCAATAGCATTGTCTAGAATATGTACCTGGTTCTACTGAGAACAAATGAAAAATAAACACTCCCTCCCTAAGTTCCCGTAACATGACTGCAGCAACCTGGGTGGAATGCAAATTGATTACTATCAATTTTTATGTATTTGGTAACAGGGTCTCACTATGCAGCTTGGGCTTACATGGTGATCCTCCTGTTTCCAGCCTCGCCAGTGCTGAGATTACAGGCGTGCATCACTACGCCCAGTCTCCGTGGCCATATCAGTGTGTCCAGGGAAGGGGCCAGTGTGGCATGTGGTGCTAGGGATCGAACCCTGGTCCCTGCGCTTGTCTCAGCAGGTGCTTAGTCCACTGAGCTATCTCACCAGCCCCAAATATTGATTACTTTTCTTTCAAATACCCCTTCATCCTTCTTTTTAATTCTTCTCCATCACATGGCCTTCAGCACTTGACAATTAATTCTATTCAAGCCTGCCTTTAAATGAAGAAATGAAGGGAGGCAACCTGAGGCCCCAAGGCGCATGCAGGGCTGTGTCTGCCATTGCAGAGTCCAGCAGTGCCACCTCCCACCACCCGCCTCCTGGAGCGGCTTCCCAGGAGGCAGGGCTCAGCTGGCAACTGTAATGCGTCTGACCAAAGGAAGAAGAGGACGGAAGGGACGTGACAGCCTTTATACTCAGCCGTCCCAACAGTGGCCAAGGCATGGGCAAAGGGTCTATATGGAGTCAAATCTGAAGTGGTGAGGAGGAGAAGGTGCTGGCTCTGTCTCTACTGCCAGAGCCTATACTTTCAGCGGAGGATGCTGGACATTTTTGTGTTGTTTGCCAAAGTCTTGAGGGAGAGACAGAGACCAAGTCAAAGAATTCGGATTTTCATTTAACCAGCATCAAGTCCTTACTATATGCTGGGTGTAGTGCTAACGGTGGCTCCATTTAGGACCATTTCTGGCATCACTTCTCAAAGGCCTTAGCACGGTGCCCAGCAGAGAGTATGACTCAATTTTAACAACAGTGCTGAGAACAAGCATAAAATCAGCAATCTTGTGTCTGTTCTCACCTTGACTGGCAATATACTTTGGTTAACTGGTGTAAATATAATTTTAAATGTAGTCCATTTGATATCAGAGGACATACAGTGGGAAGATCAAGAACCTATAAGATATGCATGTATATATGGTATATCATAATGATCATAGCATATATCAACAATATCCAAGAATGTGAGAATTACTATGACCCTGTACACTGCCCAACATTGACAGAGGTGACAAGCCATCTACTTCCTCAGAGGGACCCGTAATACAGGTCACTACTGCGAGGTGCTCACTGGGCCCTGAACTGATGGGCAGATCATCATCACACTGCCAAGAAAGAGTTCCTCAAAATTCAGTGAGGAAGGACCACTCCTTCCTGGGCTCACTACTGCTGACCCTGAGAAGCTCGTTTTCTCCAAAAACGCCTCCTGGGGTTTTATGGATTTGAGCTCCGGCCCCACCATAAGGCTGCCCTAGGCTGGGCTTCTCAGTCTGCCAACATCGGCGTCATGGGCTGCATGATGGGCAGGGTGGGTAGGGGGCGCTCTGGGTGTTAAGCAGCAGCCCTGGCCTCATACATCACCAGCAGTGGGATCTCTGCTCAAGTGTGCAAATCAAAACACCTCACCATATGGCCAGGGTCCCCGATGGATGATGTCTGGCTGGGGCAGAAAAGGGTGTCCTGGTCACAGTCCTCACTGGGTGTGACTGCCGTATCCTTTGTCCTGCTCATTACTGCATGGGGACACTTCTGAGCCACCTGTGTACTAGGTGAAGAGGATGCCCATCTCTCTGACTACTGTCCCTCAAAACAAAGGTCCTCTTTTCATGTACAAAGTGTATAGGAATTTGGATTGCAGGGTGGTACATAAGCTGTTCAAGTGGTGGCTGAGGGTGACGCAGCTGAATTTGAGTGGCAGAAGCACATCTGCTAAGGTGAGAGCCATGGCACACATCTGCTGTACGCAGAGCTGCGGGCTCCAGATGGAAACACATTGGAATGTGCTATATCCTAGCTCCCTTATTCCGAGGTAGGGATTGTGCTAATCATGGACAGTCGGCTGATACAGAAAAGCCTAAGTAGTTCAGCTACATTCTACCTGGAAAATGCTAAAGAGACAGCAGCCGAGATCCTGCTAAAGCTATTCTGGTGACTACGAGACCACCCTACAGAATGAACTCTTTGCCACAAAACTGCTGGCTCTTCCATCTTTGGAGAAAACCCAGACAGTGGTCCACTCTTCGAGGATGGACTGATCGCTGCCATTCTAGGAGGCGGCCCGCACGTCTTCTGCAATAGCTGTGGGTCTGTGGTAGCGTGTGGGCCCAGAGCTACATCTCACAGAGAAGCCCATGGTTTTTTCATGGTCCTGCTCCTTCCTGTGGTGGTTAATTTAAGACTTTCCAGATAATAAATCATGACCCATTGTAGTCTCAGGAAGAATGAGGGAAATCCCTTCATGTCCACCAACTAAATTTGTCCAGGGAAATTCAAGGCTTGTTAAAAAAAAAAAAACAAAACCCAGGAAGGTCTGTCTTTTTCTTCTACCGTCAGCCAGGCTACAGTGCCTGCTTTCTTGAGGGAGGCAAGAGCGAGAGAGAGCACGAGAGGGAGAAAGTGAGAGACAAAGCTGGCTTCAGATGGATCTTTGTGTGAGGGCTGGACATGGGAACATTGAGGGGGGGACAGGCCACTGCCCTTGTCAATGGGGCTTATTCGCAGGACATGTAGTGGGGTGTCTTTGGAAGGGCAGTGGAGCTGCCAAGTGGGCCACACAATGTGTCTGCTTCTCTGTAGCTGCTGGCAAGAGCATTTGTTTCTAGGACGGCTGCTGATTACCCGATAAAAAAATCTGAAGAATTTCTATGAGAAACAACCCACACAGAACAGATTCGAAGGAGCCCGTGTGCACTGATGAAGCATATGGGAAGCATGTTTCAGAGCACAAATAAAATGCTCTCATGTAAGGCAGAATGCAGTTTCCTACATCTGGATATGGGGCCAGCATCTGGCTCTGCCATGGGGGGCCTCTGTTCAGTTCCTCCATAAATTTCCCCAATAGTGAGGTGAAGAAGCAGGAAGAAGAAGCCTGCACAAGAACTGAGATCTAGAAGCACAGGAGGGGCGGTGCCCATACTACGCAGTGAAGCGGCTCCCAGCTACGCAGCTTCTCCTGCTCCGGCATCCGCCATGACAGCGGCCTGCCCACAGCCTCTGCCAGCATCCCCAGTTCAGCTGGAATATGGCAAGTCCTGCATCTGCTCCTGCATCCACCAGCTAGATCCACACATTAATTGTTCTTCTATATTAAAGCATTTCTTTTTGTTTGAGAAATTAAAAGATTATTTTCTCAGAAAGCCATCAATTCCTAAAATGCTTTGGCTAGTATCTTTTTGCCAGCACTAAGTGTTTCCACAGTCCAAGAGACCTGGGGCAGATGTCTCCAGTGCACATGCGCATACTTGAGGGCTGGCTCTTGCAACACACTTGTGCTCAGGAAATGGCAGTGGAGGTAAGGGCAAGCTGGGAGGATGGGGCTGGCCGTGCAGCCAGCATGCTGGGCAGTGTCCTTTGGGCCCAGGAGAGCCACAACAGTTGGCCATGACCCCTGCTACACCCCTCCTTGACAGAAATCCCATCTCTCCCCAAACAATCTAGGCAGAGTTGGGGCAGCATATATGCAACAGACGCACTGGGGACAAGCAAGTGCTAGCCAGTCATGAGGCTGGGGCTTTGGTCCTCAGGACCTTCAAGGAGGGCGGTAGGCTCTATAGTCTCCAAAGTCTAGTACAGAGAAGATACCATGTATGCTATTTACATATGTTATGTTCTGATTGTAGCTCTGGGGTTAATACACAATTTACCAACTAGAAAATTCTAGAAAATACCATTTTAGACTTTCAGATCAAATGTTTAGCAGTGAGGCTAAAGTTAATACATAGAGAGTCAAGAACAATAGATACTGTTTTTGATGGCTGGGAGCAAAATCACTAGCTCTCTAAGGTTCTAAAAATAATATTAGTGTACACTTATTTCCTGGGTTACTTTTTGGTGGTCAACACTTCCTGCTAACACTCCTTTCTGTTTCCTTCTCATTTTCTCCCTTGCCAAGTGCCTCAACTCAGCTCTATATTCTCAAAGTGCCAGAAGCTCAGAGTTATTCTTGGTTCATATTATACATAAGGTGCTAAGAGTGGTAGTTCCTACATGTTGCATATAAAAATATGAATGAGGGCCAGAGAAATAGCTCAGTGGACTAAGCACCTGCTAAAGGCAAGTGCAGGGACCGGGTTTGATCCCCGGCACCACATGCAGCACTGGCCCTGACCCTGGGCGCACTGAGTCAGCCACTGAGACTGGGAGTGATGTGCATGCCTGTAATCCCAGCGCTGGGGAGGCTGAAAACAGGAGGATCACTACGAGTCCGAGCTGCATAGTGAGACCTTATACCAAATACATAATCATAATCATAATAATGGTATGCAAAACAATTTTAAGTGGGTGGTTGACCTCATCTCAAATCTAACCAGACTCCATTGTACTTCAGTTTAGAAAATAGTGAGCAGCAGGCGTGTTCCCTCTTGTGCCCATGTTCCCACTGATGTTCCTACACAGCTGTTGCCCATGCGCTGCACTCACATACACTGTGCTTGCAAAATGACCTCCCTTACCTTCACAGCATACTCAGCATCGGTGGCTTTGTGCACACATCGCTTGCATACCGAGTAGGAGCCCACCCCAATGTCCTCCTTGATCTCATAGCCATCAGTGAAGTGGATATTGTTCCCGTGTAGCTGCTGCAAGAGACCAGGACAAGAGAGGCTGTTAGAGACCTCCTGAAAAGGCATGCGTGCCCACAGAACTGGGGCAGGCACTGAGAATGCGAGGACATGGGGGCACACAAGGTACAGGGGTCCTTTGCCCAAGGTCCAGATCTATTTAGTGATGGTGCTAGATCTAAAATTCAACTCTTCTCGTTCATGTTCTGGGACATTTAATGTTTAGACAAAATTAGTTTCCACGGACCAGCCTTATTTCTCCCACTGTTGTGAGGAAAGGGGAGTTTAGAAGCAAAAAGGCAGAAGCACTTGTATATGGCTCAGAAGCCCATGTCCAGAGAGTGCCTGGACAAAAATACCTAAATGGACTGTACGTCATGATGTCTGAGTCAGGACCTGCTTCTGCCCTATGTGAGGTCTTCACCTACCCACTCTTAATCCAATCTACAGATACAGTTAACCTTCACTTCACACATACCACAAGGCCATGGAAGAGAGATCCTGGGGAAGTTACTTGCCACTACCCAACCTAGCTTGGATAAGGTGAGTTTAATTCTAACTCCTTAGAAGTCTCTGTATATAGTACATACACATATATGGTGGAAAACTCTAAAATGTCATCTTCATTCGCCTCCCAAAGACTTGGCACCAACAAATCAAATAGCTACCTTAGGGGACAGGCTTGACTGCACACAGTGAAGATACCTCTAGCTCAGGATACCCACTCTGATGCCCATAGTGACATTAGTCTCATTGTTTTTTCTTCCTTCTTAAAGATGGACATACAGCAGGGCACAAGTCATGGCTGACATCAGGATGGTCAGGACCATGCTAACACTCAATAATAAGAGCAGTGCCTGGGAAGGCAAGGCATCTGATATCTACCACCTTAGCACCGAGAACCCTCAGGTGAACAATGTCCGCCCAGCCCTGGCACCTAGCACACCAGGGAGGCTGAGCCCATAGAATCATTGGTGGGCATCAGCTGAATACTTCTGATGTCCTATCCACTGGGGCCAGTGGAGTTACCTGCACAATCGGGTGAACAGGAGCCTTGTTCAAGTCTTGCTGCAAGGGTTCCTGGACCAGGCTGGAGGCCACAAAACTGAATCCTCTGAACAGATGATGTGCGTTGGCACTTGGGGGAACACCAGGAGAGTCTGTGGGGAACAGTGGCAGAGCTCAGGCTTCAGGAGTGGAGTGCGTTGGAGAAATGATGGTGTGCATATCTACATGTGAGATGTGTGCGGTGAAGGACACAGAAAGCCCAACTCCTATGAAATAACTCTGTTTCGAGTGGTGCCAATGGTTTCATTTTTAAATGGCCAATATACCTTGAACAAAATCTTTAGGACAACCACTGATCACATCTTTTACTTTGCTACCTTCTGAATTTACTAATAATGTTCATGGTCACAATCCACCACCCATAGGTGCTCTAGAGTAAGAGAAAGAGTGGCAGCAATCCTGGGAGAACTGTCAGGGAGCAGGGCCACTGTGTGTTGTGCACCTCATCTCTAGGTCCAGCAGGCAGCATGTGCAGGGGGCAGCCACTGAGGACCCAGAATCGTCCCCTCCACCTTCTGCCCCCATCTCTCCTGGGACACTGGGACAAAGTTGCTTCAGCCCACAGCATGCCAGGGTGTGTGTGTGTGTGTGTGTGTGTGTGTGTGTGTGTGAAAGGAGCCATTTCCTGAGTTATAATTTCTCTGAACTCTTTATGATTTTTTAAAAAGTGTGACTACAGTGGGACCAATCTACTTCCTGTTCATCATTGAGTAAAATATGAGAGGATAAATGGCCACAGGGGGCGAAATTGTACACATATATCAGACTAAAAGCTAAATTCTGTTTTGCAAAGATCTCCCAAAGATCAATGCAAAAGAGCAAGGCCCCAAAGAAGCACTGGTGACTATCAGATGGACGCAGGCATTGTTCAGTATGTATATGCATATGCACGAGATTGAAGATCTGCCTAAGGGATTACCCAAAACAAAAGTAATCAGCCACACCCAGGGTTGGCAGGGGTGGGCAGATTGAGGGGTGAAGGAGGAAGCAGTGTCAGCACCGCCTCCTCAGGTGCCTGGCCCAAGGCCACCACCGTTTACATGTCCTGTGGAGATCCGCTCTGTGTCTAGGACTTTATAAGGATTACTTTCAAAAATACTTAAAATTAATGTAGAAAATGCTTACTTCAGCAATATTTGATATAGCAAAAAAGGGGGACACCCAAAAAGCTGCTCCCATTAAGGAAACGATGGTCGTGATCCATAATGGCTGGCGCATATCCAGGGGCTCGGTAGTGCTCGTGACAGATTCTAGGAAGACTGTGATAATCAGAAGAGGGGCAGCTGTGTAAACTATAGACACAGACACATGCTCCTAACAGCGAGCTGGTGGGAAAGAAGCTGGAGAACAAGTATTTTTTTACATGTACAATGTAAGAAAAATATTTGAATACACTTCTTAATACATATTATATTGAGTACATGAATATAATAAATGGCAAATTCTATAATATATAAATAATATTCAAAATATAGCCTGTATCTTAATTTTTCTTACAAATATATGTAAAAATTAAAATACATATTATATATAAAGTTCTAAAAATTGCACATATATTCTGTTTTCTGTATACCTTAGAATCAGTTAGCCAAGATGGGTTTGAAAAGGCCTTTGCCTTTCCACTCTCTATCCTTGGCTGTTTCTGTCCTAGACAGCTCGGTTCTGTCCCTCACAGGGGCCAGATGTGAGGGCTGGGAGAGGCCCCCGTGGGGCAAATGTGGCTTTTCTGTTCTTTAAGCTACTGTGAGGCAGGGCCCTGAGGGCCTTGTGAAATCCAGGACTGAGACCCCATGCTAGGGGTGCTCTGAGGACAAGGGCTGGTCTCCAGCATCACTGACAGGGTCCGCCAGGCCTGGGTCTCAGCTCAGCACCATGACTTTACAAAGGGGCTTCACAAGCAGCCCAGGGAGACAGGCCCACGGGACCACTTAACCAAGAAGACCTGTGTTGGCTGGAAGTAAACGCCCAGCGTCCTAGTTGAGGGAAGTTTAACTAGGAGACAAGGTGCAGGTGAGTGTGCTAGGACTTGCGGCTGTGACCGAGCCAGCTGAGCTAGTGCAGCGCTTGCTTTTCCTTAGCGGAATTCTAGATTTGAAGGCTGGCTTCTCTTTCAACCCCCCAGTGACCTTGCACAGCACTAAAATCTCCATCAGAAAAGAGTAACTTGACAAATGGCTGCCTCAGAGTTAAAGCAATCTTCAAACCCCAGAGGTGCTTCAATGTTCTCCTTTATGGCTTGCAGACTTGAGAACTCGAGTCTGCTCTAGGGCTTTGGCTAAGCTGCACAGTGGTAAAGCTGAGCACTGATCCGGACTTGTTTCACATCCACTGAAGGGAATGTATGCACCTACAGAATACAGGCCATGTTGGGGAAAATCTGTAGATCGAATAAGCAACAGCTGTTGATCAACAGACAGGAAGTACCCAGCACTGCCCAGTATGGCCACAGACTCGTACCTCTTCCTGCATCCAGCTTCCTGTACAGCTGGAGCGAAAGTGTGGGAGCAGTCAAGGGGCTTTACCACAAGTTAAAAAGCTGATATTTAAATGGTGTGGCCCGAGAGCATTCAATATGAGCGGCATAAATAAAATTTAGAATGCTATATAATCATATAAGGGATGTGGACTTTTAGCACAGTGCTTACAGAAGGCCAAAATATAGGATAGATAAAAAGAAGTGTAAAACTAATTGCCTAATTACCGTTGATGACTCTCTGAGTATTTCCTGATCTGTGGAATGTATCGCATGGTTTCCATATCTTAGGTTGGTATCTTGCACCAGTCAGCATGCCCCAGTGAGCAGCTGACATGTGAGCAGGAGGCATAAACCAGATGACCTCAGTTTCATTAAGAGTGAAAATCAATGACAAGAAGGCCCTTTGTGCACCCAGCGCACAAGGCAAGCGACTGGAGGATCCTCCTCTCGATGAGCTGTGTACTGCAGCGGCTGCTCTCTAACTCAGCCATGTACTGGCCCACCTGCGCAGAGAAGCTCACCTTTTACAAAATCAGGGCGACTTTTATGCATCACTAGCACTCCAGTTACTTCCTACCTCAATATCAAAATGCATGATGTGATAAATTAACTTGAACTAAACCTGGTTGAGAATCTCAGATAGTAAAGAATCAAAAACTAATTCTAGATGGTGTTGGCATGCAGTGTCTAAATATGTTTTTCTTAGGCCAATATTAAAATTGAATTTTCTGTGTGTGCATAAGGACTATGAGGCTTATGGTCACACTGGCCAGCTAGGTTGGAGTCTAAATTTTTCATGAATAATGCAAAAACACATTGTATGAATAATTTAGAGCCAACTGCATTAGAATCTTCTTACTCAAGGCATAAATGTGGTCTTGCTTTGAATATTTTGAGCGCACAGCTACGCATGACAGCAACTCAGGAAGCAGAACTTCCCCTCCCCCATCCCCCAGGATGCTCCAGGCTGCAGGGGTGTACACAGACTCAAGGACAACCTGCTCCTGCTTGGGGCTATGTGCTCTCTTGTCCTTCTACCTTCAGGTCAGCCACAGAAAGAGAAATAAAATGACATTTCCCAGTGATCTGTGGAATCCTCAAGCCCTGACCCATCTTCCCAATGTTGGAAGCTAAAAAGAAATCCTGTTCTGCAAACTGGACGAACTGTGTCACTGTGAGGGACTGAGCTCAGCCCCTGGATGAGTCCTCCTCCTCCTTTGCTCCTCATTACCACACAGCAGAACTTTAAAAAGAGTCATCACCCAAACCTGCTCATTGATGTTGGTTTGGGTTCTCTCTGGGGACTGCATGGGACTCAGAAGACAGAGTGAGAACCCATCATGGCTCCTGGTTCCTGTGCACTGAGCTGGGCACTTCCACTCTTCCTGCCTTGCTGCCTAGAGCAGGAGTGGACCCAGGTGGAGGCACATTCCGCCACAGGCCCATGGCCTGTGCATCTGGACTGGCACACAGCTCACTGGCACGCCTCTGTGCGGCAGCCCAGACCCAAGGGCGGCACAGGGTGTTCTGTGCTCAGGCCTAGAGGGGACAGGGGGTTCTCTGTTCCAGCTTTACCTGATATCCATCACTGATCTTCTGCTTGTTTCATGATTATCTTTTATATAATCTGGGCAATTCTAGAAGCACAAACCCTGGTAGCCTCTCTAGAAGGGTCTCAGTCTCACCCAGCCCTAAATATGCACAGAGGCTATGAGCTACTACGGACATAATCACCACCCCACCATTGTTAGGGCTGGGGCTGTGTCCCTAGATTCCCATGCTGAAACCCTAAGCCAGTGTGGCTGGATCCTGAGATAGGCCCTCACATGAGTAATTAAGATTAAATAAGTCATAAGGGTGAGTCTTAATCGGATAGGACTGATCTTATAAGAAAAGGAGACTCTAGAGCTTGTGTGCTCTTTCCACACTCCAAGGAAAGGCCATGTGAGGACACAGTAGGAGGCTGCCTACAAGCCAAGGAGCCCACCCCCTGGAACCTTGACCTTGAACTTCAGAACTGTGAGACAGATGAGTCTGCTGGGTAAGCCCCCAGCCCTGCAGTGTTTTGCTGCAGCAGCTTTGGAATACTAAACCAATTACCATAGCAAGAGAAGTAAACACTGATTCATTATTACCGCAAGTGATCACTTTAAATCGGCTGACCAGATCTGATGAACCTGACAGATCCTGAGAGTAATTTCAGACATATCACAAAACTACATTTATGTGTCCACTTGCTGTGCCAAGATCTAGTGGTGATACAGCTTTTCCAAAAGCCTTTTGGACTTGCATGCATAGTAAATGTAGCTCACATATGCATAAAGTGACATTAAGCCGACAGCCTTCCTCCCATAGAAAGGGAGTTCTCTAGTTCAGAGAACCGCTTCAGACCTTCCTTTGGTCTCCTGGTGATCGCTTCCTGGTGTCTTAAAAGGGAGGTGGGGAGGGGGGGCTACAGAATACCTTGATGAGTTCCCAGGTATTCTGGGACACTGCCTCAAGCACACAGAACTTGCTCTGCCACTTCAACTTTTATCCTGGGCAGAGAAACAGGAAATCTAAACGGCATCAGCAGTCAATTTCCATTAGGAGCACCCTTGCATGTGCATGACTCTTCTTCCTCTGTCCTCAGGGATCAGATGGGAGAGGTCCCTGGAAAGACCCCCCACTGTCACATACCTGTGGGTGTCCGTGCGGTGAACTCTGGATCAAAGTGGAAAGTGTCCTCTGGCCTGCCCACTGCGGGCTTGAAGGGAGGCTTGATCTCCTTCCGGTATAGCTTCTGCAGAGGAAGCAGGACAGACTCTGGGCAGGCTGAGATGGACATGGGCAGATGAGAGCCCTGCCTGGGAGTGGCTGTGTTGCGGGCATCCCCACCCTTACCTGCAGGCAGCTCCCCACACCCTGAATGCATGTGAACATGCACCAAGCGCAGACTACACCAATGTGTTCTATGTTATATATGGTATATCGGGTGTGATAAAAAATACAGTGAATGTTTAAAAAGATTTCTTATAGCAAAAGTTACATTTGCACTAATGCTCCCCAAAATATTCCCCTTGGCTTCAAACACATTAATCTTATCATTCTTGCTACTTTCTGAGGCAGTTCTGAAAATCCTTTTTCATGAGTGTTTTAGTTGTATTGTTCTAGCTACCTCGATGACCTGATTGATTCAATATGTTTACTTTTTGTGGTCATTTTGACTTCGGGGGAGAGCCGTAGTGGTGTGATGCTAGACCTGCTGAATGAAGTAGCTGAGGACACATCTTAGTGTTTTTACGAGCCCGCTTTTCTGTGAGATTGCACTTGGGAGCAGCATTCACTGTATTTTTAATCACACCTCATGAAGATACCCATGCAAGAAGACTTGCAAAACTTCAGTGTGGGTCAGGTCAAAATATCCTGGAAGTGGAAGACACTGGCAACTACGACATGCGACAGGGCTGTGAAACTTAGAATCTTGTGCACCCACACCTTTAACACTCAGTTGTCCTGATCTCGTTGGGGGTCCAGGTCATTGGCTAAAAGCACCAATTCCTAGACACTCTGAATAAAAGGTCTGGAGCTCAGCTCTGCAGCCAGGACCTCAACTGGTCAGGCAGGTTCAGATGACTCGAGATGAAATCTGCTATGACTGTCTCAATGACCAGTGAAAGCAAATTGCATCACCTTATCAGACAATGAAACTGAGGCTGAGATTCAAAGAGTAACTTGTTCAAGGCCAATAATGAGCAGAACACAGATAGTGGGGGGTGGGTAACAAGGTCTCCTGACCCTTCTGAAAGCCCTAAGTACTGGGCAAGAAGTCTGGGCGTGGGGAATGCAGAGCATAAGGGAAAGAGAGCACAGAGGTAGGGGGCTGACATCTGACTTTTGCCCTGGGTGCCCCTGCTCTAAGGGGCAAGACCAAGACCAGGCTGGCAGCAGAAGCATCCAGCCCAGGAGGACCAGGGATTGGGCATCCGTGGAGAACTGTGTGGAACTTGGCCCATGCTCCCATCAGTTTCCTGCCCTGGGTGGACAGCTTTGCCAAGACTAGAGTCGCCACAATCCTCCCAGACACAGAACAGAGGCTGAATCCGGTGGTGACGCAGGCACAGGGCAGAAGCAAAGCCTCTCTAATGTACACAGTCCTTCGGAAAGCTCTGGAACCCTGCTGCTGCTTTGTGTCCAGAGCTCTCCTGTCGTGCTTTGCAGGGTTAGCAAGTGAAATCTGTCCAGCTGAAGTAAACACACATCTTCTGGGGTGGGGAGAGAAAGAAATAAAAGAAAGGAATAAGAGAAAAAAGAAAAAGAGAAGTGAAAAAGAGAAAGAAGAGGAGGCAGGTAGGGAAAGAAGGGAAAGGGAAGCCAGAGAAAAATGGAGGGAGAGGAGGGAGTGAAGGAGGAAGGCAGGAGTCCGTTACAAAGGCAGGCTTCCTGCTTTTATAAGAGGGATTTATTTACATGAAAGATTTCTATTAAAAACAAAATAAAGCAAGAACGAATAGCTGCCGCCCATGCACCCAATTCCAGAGATCACGTGGCGCATTTATGTCCTGTGATCACACTGGGCTTTATACGGTAGTTTGCAAGTGTGGGTGTCTCTGATTTTTGCCTTTTCCTACCCAGGCCTGCGAGCCTCGGTGTGGGCTGTACAGACCCTGACCTGGCCAGCAGGAGGCGGGCATGAGAACGTGGATATGGTAGGACCTTCCAGATTAGCTCTGTGAACATAATCTGTCCACTGGGGGCCACTTGCCCTCTGCCCCTGGGGCTGCTGTAGCTTCAGTCTGGTGTCAGTGTCTGGTCTTGTGGGGAGAGAGCAGCCATCTCTGCACCGCCCTCCTAGGGCTCCTTGGAGCCAGGCACTCCTCCTGGATGTTTGTCGAGATGTTCAAGTGGCTCAGTTTCTCCGTGTCTTAGCGTATATTTTCCAGAAGGTGCTAATATGTGCTATTACTCTGTATGCTCTTCTTTTCCCTGTGTCTAAACCTAAGAATGGGTTGGAAGTGTGTGGTGATTTTGCTTCTGCTTCTGAATGCAAACCGCAGCACAGCTGAGCTGTAGAGAAAGTGGTAGCAGCATCCTCATTGACCTTGGACCAAGGCGATGTGAGGCGGACGTCCCGACCTGGAGCCCCCATGCTGAGGCTCTAGGATAAGGTGCAGCCAACCCGAAAGGAATAAAATGGGGCTTTGTGCCTCCATTCACCAGGCATCAGTGTACGTCACCTCATGGGTTTGAGGACGCTGTAGAGCACAAGTCTAGCAGTGACCTTGAGACAGATATCATATTGCACACGCTTATGCAAGGAGTCTCTAAGCGGCACATTAGGATTCTGGTCAGGCCTAAAGGACCTTAAGTAGGAGAAGGACAGAGAGAACACAAAAAGTGGTAGCTAGGTAATGGAAGAGGAAACTGGATTCCAGTTTGGGGCCACTGTCCCTAACACCTGCTCTCTGCAGTTTTGATGCCAGGCATTTCAAATTAACATGCTCCAGTAAGGCAAAGGGTACATTTATAGGCTGATCCTGAAATAGTAACATAAACATGCAGGTGTGGGAAGGTGGCAGAATGGAAGGAACAGCAAGTTTAAGTGATTTCTAGGGTGTCATGGGGCAGAGCTTTGTCTACCGCTCATCTTAACTGTAAGGGATTCTACAAAAGCATACAGATTTACAGAGTTGCTAAATTAAAGAGTCCTTATTGGGACCTTGAAAGGGTACTTCCCTGATATAGTTAGCCTAGGGTCAGAGTGATGGAATCTTTCTTTGCGCACTGGGAGTGGAGGTGAGTGCCTGGACCCCTGACCCAACCCAGTACATGCAGTCAATCCTTGTCAGGTGCTAGAGTACTCTGCCTGTAGGCAGCAAGCCCAGGGTGACCCTGAAGACCCCAGTCTGCCCCTTCCCATGCACATGGCAGCCAGAGGCACCAAACCCCATGCTGTCGGTCCCAAGGCGACCAGGGCACTCTTCCAACTGCTCTGTGCCTAAGTGTCCCCTAGAGTCACTCTCACCTCACAAAGCAAGAGTTGTTGATGTCCTTTGAAGGATTTGAAATGTAAAAGGCCATAAGTAACTCAGGCTAATAGTGCTTAACAGTAATAATAAAAATAATTGCAATCTCACGTGGGAAATGGTTATTCTTGGTGTCCTGGCACATGTGATGCTCCAGGGAACAAAGAAGCAGAGCCACCAATATCTTCCCCCATGACAGAGCTCCTGGCACAGCCCTGAGCTCTGCTGTTCTCACCCAGGTCTGTGCAGAGGAAGCTACAGGGGCCTGGCTGGTGCAGCCTGCCTATTACCTCTTAAGCAGCTTATTTTAGGTTCATGCTAAGCCTGCATTCTCAGCATTGCTTCAGCCACAGTGGAAAAATAAACACAGCTTGTGTTTGCTGGACTCCAGCACACCCTGGAAGAGGTTTCCAGTCTGTAATTAACTTGTGATTTTTCACTTAGCTGGTCACACAAGACAGCCTCCAGAAGGCTACCCTGGAGCACACGCTAATGGGCCGGGTGCAGAGAGCAAGGGCAAAGGTAGCGCAGGGCACACGGGTGCAACCTACTGCTCTTGTCAATGATGTGTTTTGCTCCAGCAGGTCACCCAAGCCCTCAGGGGATGGTTGGCGGATGACAGGTGTTTATTTAAAGAAAAAAATCTGCTGGCAGTTTTGGGTCACAGAAGGCAGCAGAGAGTAAAATAAATATCTTCATGTTTTCCCAGCTGGGTCCTGAGGCAATAGTCTGGGTGAGGTCCCCTGGCGGACATCTGACGGCCAGGGATGTCTTCTTGCTCACTTCCGAATGTCAGTATCCCAGGGGGAAGCCTCTGGCGCAACCTTGCTGCCAAGAGTGGACTGTGGCTGACAAGCACAAGGGTACATCTGGACCACAGATTGCTGAATGAAACAATCCCTAAGTACATTCCACGGACTTTCTGAAACACATGAAAGCTCCAGGCAGCAGCTCCAGGCTAGCCATCAAGACACAGGGACTGTTACCTTGGCCACAGATGCAAGGACAGTGCCCAGACCTGGCCTGGAGGATGCGTCAACAGAGATGGGGAACCTGTTTCTCCTATTGCAGCAGGGCCTTCATGGCTACCAAGACCATCAAGACCTCGTGGAGCCAGTGGTTCCTTGTGCACCGCTGTGCCCCTGATCTTTGTTGAGAATATCCTTCCTGTCCTCCCTGTGTCTTCTCTTGGTGAATTCTCCGGCCTCTCCTCTGCTGGGACACGCCCACTGTGTACTACTTCTATGGCAGGCAATAGTCTTCCAGTGTAGCAGATTCCTGGGCCATGAGTGACGTGGGGATGGAGCTGTATTTCCCAACCGTTACCTTGAGGGGTAGCTTGATTATGGTTGATGCAGGCAGGTGTGATGCATTATTTATTGAACAAATAAATTAACTGAAGGACCATATTCCAGCGCTCGTGTACCACTCTCAGGCTCCGTTAATGTGGAAGGCTGGATGGAATGCGGGACTTGCCTCCTCTCAGCCTCTATGAGGCAGCCTTTGGCAAGGACGGGAACAAGAGTAAACATGCTCGGTCCTAGCAGACAGAAAGACCTCTCTCAAAATCCCGCTTCCTGTTCAAACCCCAAGAACCTAGCAAGCTTGCCTAGCACTACTAGCGTGTCTTCCTGGGCTCTGTGCTTCCAGCCGAGACAGCATCTATCTGCTGGAAGCATTTGCCAAGGTCCCCCTTGGCTAAGTTTGTGGAGCAGTCACCAGGAAACATGGCTGGGTGCCTCCCTCAGATCCCCCTCCCCGAGCTCCCTTTTTCTACCTGCAGCTCCTTGCATACCATGACTGTCCAGCAATCCCCTTCTCTATTTCCCAGGCATGGTCTCTGGAGGTGACAGAGAGAAAGGGAATGGGACAATCTCTTTCCATACCCGCCACTCCTGTCCTGAGGTCCCTTTCTCAGCTCTCAGCATAATTGCACTCCTTCCTTCCTTTCTTCCCTCCCTCCCGCCTCATTCACTGGCACACTGGCATTCATCAGTTGCCCTGCTCAGGCTTGGAGGATGGCTCAAGCTCAGAGCCCCAATCTCCTGTAGCTTGCACTGCAGAGAGAGAGGAGGCAGGAAACAATATGCAGCAGGAGTCAGTGGTATGGTGTGGCCCGGTCAAGGGTGACAGGTGGGAATGGGCTGAGTTCAGAAGTAGGGTGAGAGGCTGCCTGGGGTGCCTCAGGAGAAGGAAGGAGGGGAGGCAGAACGAGCCTCCAGAATTTGGGACAAGGGTCCAAGAAGACAGGCCAGCCCGAGCCCAGCCTGGTGGTGGAGGGCCAGGGGGTGCACACACTGTCCTCCCACCTTTCCGTTTATCCTGCCCCACCCCCTTTCTCTCCCTTCACAGCGGAGCATTCTTCTGGCGCGGAGGTGCGTATTCATCTGTGCAGTAGGACATCAGACCCCATGGGTGGGACTCTGCTAACCCCACAGAAAGTGCCAGAAACATGAAATGCCAACACAGGTGGCTGAGTAAACAAACACGCAGGTGATAAATGAACAGAGCTGTGCATGCTGTCCTGGATGCCCGCGGGCAGCCCTGAGGCAAGCTGACAACATCTCCAATGCATGCCACCAGTGCCTGTCCCAAGATGCTGGTTCCCAAGCCTAGACGCTGTGCTGTGTGGGTCACCCTACAGGGACACATGCTGGCCAGTGTCCATGGACAGGAGATGCGCCCCAGAAGATACACTCCAAACATGAAACACGGACTGCAAATAGTCTTTAGGTGCCTGCATGAGACCAAGTGGCCTGCACATCTTATAAGCCTAGAATTTTAGGAAACCTAGCAGATGTTCACGGGCGGTGTGGTCTTGCCTCTTAGAGGCCTGCATTCCTCCCACTCTCTCTGGGAGGTGGGTATGACCTGATTTCTGCCTGCTCTCCAAGCGTGGATCCCCACCTGCTGGGCCCTGTGGGCATCCTGGAGGTTCACTCTCCCTTCCATCATCTAGGATAGAAGCCCCATTTAAACAAGTTCTACCTGAGACAGAGAGTTGGGGCGGGGCACAGAGCTCCCAGACCTCCCAGTGGGGCAGGGCTCGGGGGATCAAAGAGGAGTGCTGGTTCCAGCCAACATCAGTCTGTGCATGCTCCACTCTTGGAGGCCCCAGGCGGATGGACACAGAGTACACAGCAAACTGTGCCATCTAAAGGGCATTTGGATGTTTAAAGACATTCCATTAAAAACCCTCTGAGATTAATTTGTGAGCTCAGAAAAGAAACTCTCAAGTGAGTTTTGTGTTTCACTAAAGGAAAGGGCCTCAGGCAGCCTTTATCAAGGGAGGTGCCTCCTCCAGACGGGAGAAAGGCCAGCTGTTCTTGGTGTCCTGATGCCTCTGGGCCTCCCAGGCACCAGAAACCAATGATGTTCACCTCCCAAACAGCTGGTTCCTTGGCAGAAGTTATGCGGCTGGGGGCAACACAAGGGCCATTTGTACTGGTAGGAGAGTCACAGGTGGGGACGGGTAGCAATCTGTACCTCCCGTAAGCCAGCTCCTCAAGGGGTCCTGAGAGTTCTCTGCCCACAAGTGGCTCAGCTTGGACAGAGCTACTACACAGCTCGGTTCTCCCCTCCTCCCTCTTTCCCTGTACCTGTGAGCTGCTGCGGACTGTGGCAGGCAACTTACATTCCAATCGATAGTAACAAAGAAAGGGTGACGCTTAATTTCTTCCACTCCATCAATGCCAGCACCTGTCATAACAATAAAGTAGAGATAGCACATCAGAATGGAACCAACATCACCCGTTGTCTCTGACAGCTCCTAAAATGGCAGTGTGAGGGGCTGGGGCACTGGGGTGGACCTGTGAGCACAGACTGTTGCCACTCTCCTGTGAGGCCCCCATTCAGCACCTGCATGAGAGCTGGGCATGAGGTGGTGAAGAGAAGGCAGTGGTGTGCACCTGGGCCTTCCTGCTCTAGGCCTGAAAGCGATAAAGCCCAGCAGCAAGAAGGGGCCCTGGGCAGAGCACCTGGTCCTGCCGATGCAAGGCCTGGGCAGGAAAGGAAAGAATACTGCAGGGCAAGGTGCAGTTTTGGCAGGACTAAGCCCAGGCATTCTACTCAATTTTTTTTTTTAAGTAAACTTAAAACTGTTCTAAAAACAAGGTCCGTTACCTAAAGGAAAGAAAGCCTTCAGCTGTATGAGGTCAGCACTTTCACTAGGATGAGCGAAAGGCTGGGAAGAAGCTGGATTCCTCCCACTGTGAGTCGGGGGGCGGGCTAGAGTGGAGAGTGGACAGGGGCCGGGTCTCCTGCCAGCTCCCACCCAAGTGTGGGGAGGCCTGGGCACCTGCTCTGCACATGGAGCTCCTTCCTGCAGCTCGGAAGGGCTTCCTCCCAGAGTTTATCTCCATACAGCCTAGCTGATCCCATCTGCCCATCCCATGGGTGGCTCCTTCTGTGGGAGAAATGTAGAGCAGGGAGGCAAGGGTGATGGGCAGCGCAAGGGCATCCTGCAATCCTTGGTGATCTGTCCTTCCCACAGCCTCCATGTCTGCTCCGTGAAGTTAGGGGCCTGACCCTTTCCCCACAGTATGCAGGAGTCACTGGAGAGAGCCCTGATGGGCTCCATGGTGCTGCCCTCACCCTTGTATTCTTGTGCATGGGAGGGACAGGGATAGGGCCTTAGGAAAAAACACTCTCTATGTGGATGGAAGCCCAGGGCACCTGGAAAGAGCTACTTTGACCAAATGTCCTATAGTTCTCTGGTCCCTCTCTGCCTGGGGCTGCTTGGGTCCAAAACACAGGCAGGGAACTAGAGAAAGGTCCAGGGACCAAGAACCTGGTGGCGGCACCAGCACATCTGCTCCTCGCCAGGGGGCAGAGACAGCCAGTGTGTTTCTGGTTTATCTGTATGAAGTGGTTGCTTTACAGATGAGAAAACTGAGGTAGGAATTGGTTGGGTAACTTGCTTCAGGGCATACCAGCTACATGTCGCAAGGATGAGAAGGTGGATCTGGGGCGAGCAGCATAAGCACCTGCCTGGCAAGTGCAAGGTCCTGACTTCTATCCCCCTCACCTCCCAAAAAAAGAACCTTGAAGGTGGATCTGCCAGACTTAGTTGAAGTGTCCCTTTCCTGGGATTCTACTTTGATTTTTCAGATCCTTGGGGTCTGGCTCCTTCTTCAGTGGCCACCACAGTGATGCCTCCCCACAGCCATCCACCTCTGTGTCTTCCTTGTTCTGCCGGAGACCCCAAGTCCTGAGGTCAGGAGCAGGCCTGTGCACGCTCAGCCTCCTGTGGCCTTTGATGGGTACTCAAAGGCTGCCGAGCTCGCTTCCGGGATGAGTGGCTTGGCTTAGCTGGTCATCTTCCCCATGCCCATCCTGTACCTCCTGCAGTGATGACCAGAATCCCAGGTGAAAAATACTTCTTGGCTGATTATTGGAGGGGCACCTTTGCCTCATGGCTCTTCTCGTGCCAGCCAAGCAGCTGGGTGCTTGCTGGCTCCTCAGCACCCCATGCTCGACGTGATTCATGGCCCATGTTTCCTTGACACTTCTGTTTCACGTTGCATACTCATGAATTTACCTTCCTTTCCTCACTTGCCAGCATGGTCCACAGAAAGGACAAGCACCACATGAGGGAGATGATGACTTGTGATGGAGGCAAGTCATAGGCACCCTCTTGGAGCAAGATGATTTGGGGTCTCTGGCAGAACAAGGGAGACACACAGGTGGATGGTTGTGGGGAGGCATCACTGTGGTGACCACTGAAGAAAATCCAGATTCCAAGGATCTAAAAGAGGCACTGAAGAAGCTGGTTGATGAGCGACCTTGGCTTACTGAGCCACCATACTTTTGCTTGCCTTCTGTCTTCCTCTGCAGTTAGATCTGGCACTCTTTGGGTTTTGAGCCCTGGGCAATAGAGCTGATGGTGAATGAACACTATTGCTCCGATGCAGAAAGGTAGGGATGGAAGATGCAGCTCTTCAAAGCCTGCATCAGCCTTCTAAGGACAACTGTGCTTACAGCTTTGGATTTTAGTCTTATGTATCCTTCCCCAAAATGTTTTACAATAGGCTATTTTGCACTTGGCTTTCCTTTAATGTAGATCAAACAAATCTGAGAGATGGTAGTGAGTAGTGGTTGGGTTGGGAGGGTGAGAAAGTGTGTGTGCTGCTGTGTGAGCCAGGGCAACACCTGACAACATCTGGCCCACACCTGACCCACATCTGCCCCACACCTGCCCCACACCTAACCCACACTGCTTCAGGAGGGTGCCTGTGACTTGCCTCCATCACAAAACACTGGCAAGACCTGGAGCTCACGACCAGCTATAGGATGGAAGAGCTATACTCTCCCTTGCGAGGCTCAGTGATCTTGCACTTCCACAGTGCACAGGTGGTTCGGTGGGGCAGTGGACGCGAGCTTTCAGACTTAGTCTCTGCAGCAATCTCCACAACGAGGTTCTGATCACTGGTGGGCTATTTCCACAATGAGTGCCCGGGACCACATTGGTCTGCACTGAGGTCTCTACTTCTACTCTGGCCAAGGATGCAGTGTAGATTTAAGGTATGATGCAGGGTGAGGAAGGGTCTCACTCTCTCATTGCCCATCCAGCCCAGCTCCTCTACTTCACATGTTTAACAAGTGAAGGTAGCCCTTTCACTTCATTGTGGGCTTCTTCATTCTCAGAAAATAGTCCCAAAAGGTCAGATCTGTCAAGAAGATTTTCCTTGTTATTATTATGCCTGCACATAGCTCTGGGAAATAGTTGATTTCTTTGCAACATTCACAGTGTTGTTGCTCTTTTGGAGTTGTGAAAAATCCACCTGGAAGTCTTCCAGGCACCCAGAATGCATTCGCCTGCTTCCTCGTGTGGGAGACTGGAAATGTCCAGCCCATCACTCTCCAGACGATGTCCAGGTTGATTTAAATATAGGCATTAGCTCTGGTTTTTGTTTTTTGATAATTTATAGGTTATCTACCCATTACTTGTTTAGTTTTAAAAGTGTTTTCTGCTCATCTGGAATGTCACCCGTCTGATCTTCACCGTTCTTGCCTAGTAGTGGCTGTATCTTGAAGGGCACCACAGGGGACAGCCAGGGTGGGCAGTTTTCCAGACAGCCTCAGCCCTGCAGGTGCACAAGGCTTCCTGAGCTGATGGAGAATGAACCAGCTCCAAAGGGAGGTCCTGTCTTTACGGTCCTGAGCAACTGGCAGAGGTTGGCTCATAGCATGAGTTTGTAGCACTTGTCATGGAAACCTGGTGACACCTTCAGCAGCCCAGAGTGACAACACTTGATATCATGATGACACATCTTTTAGAGTTCACTGACTGGCAGGAAACAACAGAAACGGAAGCCCCAGGCAGTGTGGGAGCAGAACCCATAATGCCTTGGAAGACTATGCGGTTATATTAGTTGACAGTCATTTACTTGCTAGTTTTATGTTCGTCAGCCCCTTTCATTCCTTCCAGGTCTCTGACTGGATTTGCCTGGGAGTCTCCCAAGAGTCCCTGGGCAAAGCTGTATGTGCCCATTAGGTGTGAGCTAGAGAGCTCTCAGTTTTGGCAAGCAAGACCGGGAAGCAGGTTCAGTAGGCACATGCTCCCTGAAACCCCTGCTGTCCTGCAGGAGAGTCAGGGGTGGAAAAATGCTGGTTTTGAAGACCAGTTCTCCTAGTGCCCATCACACTGTGGTCAGAAATTGATATGGCATTAACTTCTGTCAGGAGAGACTTTACTCAAATCAGGATGCCTTGAACAGCACCCCACCTGGCCTGGCCCTCACAGCCCATCACAAACCTGCATCCCAGGCTGGGACTGGCTGCTACCTGGGGCCCGGGGCAGTGTAACTTGATGAGCCCTGATTTTGCAAAGAAGAACCCAGAACCTTGCATCACGGGGAACTATGTGATGAACCCTGGCCTCCGTCTCTCCTTTCCTTTACACTTTTCTGAAATTCCTGGATTTGCAAGTTATCCACAGTCACAGAGTGCTGGGCATGAGGGAGACCTTTCTGGGCATAGCTAAGGGACCTGAAGGCCAGCCAAGGGCAAGGATCTCCAGGGGCTCAGCCATGTGGCCCAGACTTGTTCACTTCACATAGCTGTACCTGAGCAACTGTTCTTCATGAGGCTGATGAGCCCTGCCTGCTTCCTCCAGAGACCCTCCAGCCAGTTCTCCTCTTCAGCTGTGCCCAGCCTCATGGAAATCCTATGTACCCACGGATAGATGTGCCATTCTTTTCTCTTCTCTCCCCCTCTACTCCCAACAGTATTGGGGTTGAACCTTAGCACTGAGTTCTATCTGCAGCCCTCTTTTTTGTGTTTTTGAGACAGTCTTGCTAGGCCCCTAAATTGCCCAGGCTGGGCTCAAACTTGCGCTCCTTTTCTCTCAGCCTCCTAGAGTGTTGGGATTACAGCTGTGTGCAGCCATGACTTGTACCTTTCTGTGGTTCTGTGACTTTGCAGTGCTTCTTGGACCTGAAATGCCTCCAACCCTCAGCATTCCACACAACCTCTGACAGCAACTTGTGCATTCTCATGGAGTACCTCCGTCACTCTGCCCCTGGCCGTAGCTATTTGGGGTTGTATATTCACTTCTATCTATGACCATCTCACAAAGCATAATAAGCAAATGCATGGTGCAGACCCTTCACTGAAGCGCTGCCTGTCCCCCCATGCTGGACATGACCACAGACTGCCCCCACCCTAATGTGGGAGGTTAAGGGGGGCAACACTCTTCT